GACCTTGAAGCTAAATGTCTGATTTATCGTCATGTCAGAATCAAGGGAAAGCAACAGGGAGTGTTCTGGAATGTTCCGGAGTGAATTTTGTGGAGGAGATTCCTTTGTGTAATGTTCTATTTCTTAATGTAGTATCAAAATCCTATCTCTCCCCCTCTTTCTTTCTCAGACCAAAACGTCTGTCAAAGTGATTCTCGGGTTCAAGAGCCAGGAAACCTCTGGGTTTTCAGTGTGTAAATTCAAGTCAAATCAAACCAACGCGACAGTGCACTCTTGATTGCTTCACTTGCCACCATCTTTAAGCCAGATCTAAATGATGTAATCATGCACAGATTTCAGATATAAAAATTTCAAATTATTCCAAAATAATTTACAATATGCCTTTGATCTAGCGTTCATCTGCTTGCTTTAATCTGAAATTTCATATATATATATATATATATATATATATATATGTATATATATCTGTGTGTATGTGTGTGTGTGTGTGTGTGTGTGTATATATATATATATACACACACACAAAGAAATGTGTCAGTTATTCAAATAACAGCTTGCTTTGCAGGCCTGTTATTTCAATCAGTATATGGCCTGCTGGACGCACTTCATACCCCGTTTTTTATATTGGGACAATCTTTTAAAGTTAATATAACAATTCAGTGAGGACACTTCTGAACTCCAGAGTAATTCTATTGGCTTTGCCAACATATTAACAAGAGGAAGGACATGCCTGCATAAATTCCGTATCCGTCCATAACTGATGACTTTAACGATTAAACCCACACTTTGTAAAGTAAACGTACTTCCCCAGAGGGACATTTTATTGCTCTTTCATAGCTCATGAGATTTAATGGAGTTCTCAGTTGTGTTTCATTTAAGTATAAACTGTGCCCCAGATGTTTTTCCTGTCATCCCTTAGGAAAAATCAAAAAAGACACAAATGCTTTGGACAATAGATAAATGTAAAAATAAGAATCAATAAATGTCAATAGTTTGGCCTGGAATGGATTTGAGGAGATGTGTTTGGATTTGTGATTATTTTATTTTATTTTATTTTATTTTATTTTATTTTATTTTATTTTATTTTATTTTATTTTATTTTATTTTATTTTATTTTATTTTATTTTATTTGCAAAGATGTAAAGATTTCAACGAAGTTGAAAGATTATTAACATATATGACATTATTATTATTATTATTATTATTATTATTATTATTATTATTATTAATATTATACATACACTGTTAACCCTTACTGTAGATTATGAAGTAAATAACTGTAAAATAGCCAGTGTTTAGCTGTAATGAAAAGAAACAGTATTTTACTGTAAAAGGAGCAGGATTTGTATGAAATTCTGTAGTGCAAAAAATAAATTACAGTAATTTACTCTATGTACCATTACAGATATTTACTGTGATAATAAATGGTAAATTACTGTTCAACCATTACTGCCCCATCTACTCTGATGCTTTATGTTGCTATTTTATATTTATTTTATCTCTGTGTTTTCTTTGGTTCCTTTTATGTTTTTAACATTGAGTATCGAGAGTCAACCAATACCACAGAGCTTATTAAAAGGTAAGTGTAAGATATGGACGAAATGCATTTAAAGGCAAAAATATTCACACAGAGCAAAGAAATTGTCACAATAATTTTTATAACTTTGTTTACTTTTTCTATAATTAATCTAATTTAATTGCCTAGTTTGACCTATAGTTAAGATTTTAAATTGCACTTTCAACTGAATATTAGTATTTTGCTAAATAACTAGTAAAAATGTGTTTTTAAAAAAAAAAAAATATATATATATATATATATATATCTTAAACAACACGCACATACATTTTTGCAGGGACTCAATGAATTTGTCTGGAAAACTGGCAAGTAAAAGTGCCATTAACAGTATAAAGGCTTTCCTAAATAAATGTATAAATCATGATATTTGTTGTGTTTTTTATTATTACTACAGATTTGGAACGACATGAGAATCAGATTATTTATTTTTTTTTTTTTTTCTATGGATGAAGTTTATATTATAGTATATTTTTATTGTTTTTATTAAACAATATGTGCATAACTGTGATAAATGTAGGCAGTTGCTTTGAAAATATGCTATGCACCAGGGGTGTCAAACTCCTGGAAGGCCACAGCCTAGTAGAATTTAGTTCCAGCCCTGCTTCAACACACTACCTTTAGATTTAGTTTGATCAGGTGTGTTTAATTAGTATAACTGCACTGTTACTCTGTAGATTGTGCAGTAAATAACTGTAAAAAAACAATGATTTAGGCATCACCACAAACTCCCACAGGCTGTCCGTCTTATTCTAAACACAAAGGTGTTAGAAAGAGTTTTCAGAAAATGCTGGCCCTTTAAGAGAGCCAGGTGTTTGATTTGTTTACTGCTGAGTGTGCTCTATCCTCTGTCTATCAATTCAGATGTTGAGTCTGATATGTTTTAGGCTTTAAATAAGAATCTAAAATGAGTAAGTAAAATGTGTTCAAATGTTTTTGAGGGTTTAAAAAATAAGGCTGTGTTTTAAGTTATATTGTTGTTATCTTGAACTGTGTACTTGAAAGCTACATTGTTGTTATCTTGAACTGTGTATCTCTTCATATAACTTTTTACATTACTTTTGTTTAAGAATATGTATTTATTTTATATTGCACACTGCCATAATGTACAGATACTAACAGTTGTATGTATCTTTCTGGCAACTAAGCCAAAATTAAATTCCATCATCTCAGTAAGGTAACATGTGCACATCATCACAGGGAATCACAAAAACATGATACACATAGCCATCCACACACAAAAGCTCCCCTGTCCAGTCCCAGGTTGTGAGTTTGTTGCTAAGTATTTTTCAGAGCAGTGTTTCCACCTATGAATTTATATTAGAAACAATAAAAAAGTTTGTTGTCATGAGATAATTATAACAATAAAAGATTGGATCCTTTGGTTTTTCGTTGTTGCCAACTTTATTTTTGTTTTCTATAATTATTTTAAACTTTTTGAGATTTGACAGAGCTTTTAATTATTTAAAACTTTAAAATTTAAAATAATTATTTTGTGTTTTTTGCTGTTCAGTTTTTTTTTTTTTTTTTGCATGGTGAGCATTGAGGAGAGAGTAACACATTTCACTGCAGCACTTTGTGTGTGTGTGTGTGTGTGTGTGTGTGTGTGTGTGTGTGCATGCACGCGTGTGTGTGTGTTTATTGGATATGTGATTGTGATAAATGTTAGCAGTTGCTTTAAAAGTATGCTTTAAACCAGGGGTGCTTAATCCTGTTCCTGGAGATCTACCTTCCTGCAGATTTCAGTTGCTATTCATATCAAACACACCTAAACCAATTAATTAGTACCTGAACACCACGTTATAATTACAGGCAGGTGTGTTTGATATGGGTAGCAACTGAAATCTGCAGGAACGTAGATCTCCAGGAACAGGATTGAGCACCCCTGCTATATACCATGGGGGTCAAACTCCAAGTTACTGGAGAACTGCAGAGCAGCAGAGTTTAGTTCCCACCCTGCTTCAACATTACCTGTAGATTTCTAACAAGCCTTAATTAGTTTTATCAGGTGTGTTTAATTAGAGTTACAGCTTAAAGTCCCGGTCACACTGCAGTTTTCTCCCTACAGTCTTCCATTCATACGCATGTGAATGCTGCAGACCTGGAATGCAAACTCATGCGACAAATTTTACAGTTTGCAGCATTGGAAAGTTCAAGCTTGGAGATCTCTGAACTGCGAAATCACATCATGGGATTGCTTGAGACTAATCAAAGATCAAACCATGACCTCTCTGAACAAAAATTATGGACCAGTTGCTTGCTTTTTCAATCTCTAAATATTTTGTTTAATCCCACTCCTTTTCGCAGAGCCATATGACAGAATTTTGCATGCTTAAACGTTAGTTTTACTGCAGCCTTGCTGTGCAGACCTGTGGCTCTCAGTAATATGTAAGATGATATTTATATCTGCTGATTTCTTAATTTTGTTATACATTTTCTGTTTTATATTTGTTTGCTGCCAAAACAATAAAATAAATTTGTCAGAATTTACAACTTAATTAATTTAAAGAATTAATAACATGTAAGAATACTAATTAATTTTAGTAACACCTTGACATACTATTGTGTATGCAGTATAATGCTGTGAGTTGTAACACTACAGTACAGTAATTAACTGTACACAGTTTCCAGTTAGTTACCACTACTGCTCTATTACAGTAATTAACTGGCAACACTGTTGCCAGCTACTCACTGCAATGGTTCGGTTACAGTAAACAACTGGCAACACTGTTGCCAGCCACTCACTGTAATGGTTCAGTTTCAGTAATTAACTGGCAACACTGTTGCCAGTTACTTACTGTAACCAAACTTTTACAGTGAGTAGCTGGCAACAGTGTTGCCAGTGTTCTACTGTAAAAAAGCCTGGTAAGGTCTAACAGTGTATTATTATCATTATTATTATTATTATTATTAGTAGTAGTAGTAGTAGTAGTAGTAGCTTATTTTATTTAAATTAAAATTTATTTATTTATTTATTTTTCATAGGTTTTGCAACATAAAGCTTTCATTAAAGCTGAAATATTAATTACTATAGATTACACTATTAATATTAGTATTATTATTATTATTATTCATTCATTCATTTTCTTTTCAGCTTATTCCCTTTATTAATTGGGGGTCACCACAGCGGAATGAACCACCAACTTATCTAGCACATGTTTTACGCAGTGGATGCTCTTCCAGCTGCATTATTATCATTTGTTTTTTTATTTATTCATTTAGCAATAAATAGGTTTCTTTTGAAGTTTAAATATGATCAATTATTGATGACAGTAATAAAACTTTATTTTTAAAAGTGGTTTTGTGGAACAGTGCTAACAGTGCAGTTCAATTCAGATCAATACATTTTTATTTATTGTGTTGCACTTTTGCACTTTGGATGTTATAAACAATATAATTAAATGTATACTATATCTTTTTTTCTCAGGTCCTCCCTCTGCCCCTCGCAATGTGATCTCTGCCATTAACGAGACCTCAGTGATTCTAGACTGGAACTGGCCAGCAGACAACGGAGGCAGAAAGGATGTAATATTTAACGTGGTCTGCAAGCGATGTTGGCCGGGTCCCAGACAGTGTGAACCCTGTCGAGGGGCTGTGCGCTTCCTGCCCCGTGCTTTTGGCCTCACTAACACAACCGTAACTGTGGCAGACCTCCTGGCACACACCAACTACACCTTTGAGATTGAGGCCCAAAATGGAGTGTCTTTTCAGGCCCCCACAATCCGCCAGTACGCTGCGGTCACCATCACTACAAATCAAGCAGGTGAGTCTCTCTCTTCCCTCAATATATTGTTATGATTATGTTTTAAAACTCATGTCTTTCTAAAGCACTGCACAGACTAAAAGTGAATCTTTAAATATCGTACGAACCTTAATTTTGATCAAATGAACTGGATTTGGCATGCTAATGTGAAAAAAAAAATAGGTCGACATAATTTACTGTTTTATGTTGTACTTCAAGTTTGGTTACACTTAAAAAAAATTTAAATTTAAAAATCTTTACATTTTATGTTAAAAAAAAAGCTGTGGTTGCCAGAACTAAGTCGCTAAAAAAGTAAAAACCATTAAAGCATTTTCTAAATTGTACAGTAAGCAGGTTTATTTTGTAAAATGTCCATACAGCAATGGATATTAACATGTGTTCTGTCACATTTGCCATGCAAAAACAGTGCAAAGCTAAACGTGTGTGCGCGTGTGTGTGTATGTGTGAATGCACACACGTGAACTTTATAACATCATTGTGTGTGACTCATCATTGCAGAAATGTTTGAATTAACTTCACAATAAATATATCAAACAGTTGGGACAGTTCTTACTTTAGTAAGTGAGATCTTCTTCATTCTTGTCTGTCACTGTGCTGTTTCTAGGTGAAGGCTATATGCATCAGAGCAATACAGATTGATCTCTATGGCTCTGACACGGGAGAACTAGCTCATTTGCATTAAAGACACAGGCAACTCAAATCTCCCAGATTTAAAAAGGTATAATAACTAATCGGATGGGTATTTTGAGCTAAAACTTTACAGACACATTCTGTAGACACAAAAGACTTTAACCTTGAAAATAGGGTAAAATAGGTGCCCTTTAATTCATATTAATGAACTTGTTTCATTGATAACTGTCACTGTCCCACATGTATGACATTTTACTGTACATTTTTTGTCTAAACTTTATCTTGCATGTTTATAATATACATACATAACCTATATTTCTAAAGAGTGAACTCAAAATGTCGGGTGACATTTAACCTTCTGGGATCTGAAGGTGTTTTGGTGCCTGGAGAAGTTCTGACATTATGTTAACAACATTGATGGATATGATTGTGTTTTTGAGAAAGATAAGTTTATAGTTCGTTAGTGACTAACAAAGTTTGAAAATAAATGTTGAAGCTACTGAAATAACTCAATGAAACACACACATAATATGTTCACAAGACTTTTAAGAACTGGATAATGCAGCCTAGAGTTTTTACTTGTTAACTTACATGTTAATGTGCTTACAGAAAACAATATGTCTGGTGTATACTAATTAACATTTTCTAAGAAATTGAAAAAGCTTTATGAGAGAAGGCTTGGACTATCACTACCAATGCAGTGATTCACACCTGGTCCGCATAATCAGCTGTTTAATGGGCCACACAGATAGGTATGCTACTGAAAGGAGGAAGACACACAGGATTAGAATAGGGTTTAGTCTAGGTGGTATGTTATTTAAATGTGAAATAATATTTATCTTTTACTGGAATTTACTTATTACTAATTATTATTAAGATGTTGGCTGTTTATTAGAGCTTATAAAGTATATTTACTCTACATCCATACCCTACTACAGTTTTTTACAATCGTTTTGCCAAAAAACTTGTTTTGCCAAAAAATTGTTTTTGTAAAACTCTTAACTTTTTTTTCAAATGCTTTGATACAATACACACAAATCAAAGATACTTCAATATAACACAACTAAACATCAAATTTATCCCATTTCAAAAACATTACATTTGAAATAAATGTGTATTCATTTACTTAGCATGATGTTATTATCAACTGATACAAGCACTCAAAATGTCAAGTAACTGTTGTATTACTCTTGATGTGTAGAAACTGATGTACAGTATTACATGTTTAGATGATGAAAGTTTCAGGTTAGATCAAATGACATCAGTTACCATAGACGATGACCCAACTAGACTACATAATCTATAGATTTCATCTTTATTCATCGTTATTTCATATTTATATTTTCTTTGTTCCGTGTACCACTTTTACAGACAATGTTTTCATATTTGACATTACTTCACTGTATGTAAGAAAGCCCAACCACAGCAGACCAATGTCAGACCCGGATTCACATTGACAGAAGGTTCTTTCCAAGAGTTTTGAGTAATGAAAACACAACTATGATGAGAACCTGTGACCAAATCCACAAGACCGATGGAAACACTGATCCCAAAATAGAAATCTAATATATATAAATATATGCAAATTACAAATGTGACATAATAGTTCATATGAATTTTATATATATAAAATATCATACTGCACATGTCAAAATTTTGCCATTTTTTTCAACTACATGACATAATTACAAATATGTACATATATGTTAAATATATTATCTGTTATGTTATATATTACCTATAATTTTTATTTGTGTCCATATGGCTGTATATACACACACACACACACACACACACACACACACACACACACACACACACACACATACACACACACACACACACACACCCCACACACACACACACACATTGTTTATTGAAATGATGTGCATCTTGTGTGCTGGTCATCTAAAGTTGTGTTCCTGTAGTATTTGTATGATAAAGGGATTATGTAAACCAATGATCCTGCAAATGCAAGACTTCTTTAAGGAAATGAATGCAGCATGCAGAGTTTTGAACACTGGAGAGCTTGTGTTAAAAGTAGTGAGTGTTTAGAGTTTTGTGTCTAGAGTTTTGAAAATTGACATCAGGGTTCTGAAATTTGTGGCAAAACAATTGAAAAAAACTGTAATACCTAAACCGAACTACTACCTTACTAATTACAGCAAATTAGTAGTTTAGTGAGCTAAAACTGAAAGTTAATCATTTATTAATAACGAGAATTGCACTTTAAAATAAAGTGACCAAAACTTACAATCAGTAAAATATATAGAAAGTTTTGTTTTGTTTTGTTTGTCATGTCATAAAAGATAAAAGCCTTCAAATATTTTCATTGATTGTGCGAATTGTTTTAACGGCCCCCTAAGATCAGTCGAGATATATTCACAAAAACAAATACATTTCTTCTTAGTGATGTGCAACAAAGCTCAATATTCCATTTGGAAGCGTTTGAAGCCTCTGTTTTGCTCATCCCGCACTATCACAGCTGTCTGTGAACCTATCATTCTGCAGGTGCTGGCCTCTAATATGGCTGACTGAAGGTCACGACTCCTCAGGTTACTAAAGCAGAGGGATGCTGAACGGCTGGCCATCTGCCTCTCATTCCACGCAGACTTCCTTTGTGAAGACTAGTTTTTCTGCTCTCCAGCCCTGTGGGGTTGTCAGTTCAGCTCTGTCTGTAGAGTGATAGGTACAGGTCTTGCTGGATGATTTAGAGTAGGCTTTGGTCCACAGCTTACAGGATTTTGGGTCTGGTGTCATGAAATAGTAGGCTGAAGACTACTTGGACTTCTTGAGGTTCAAAGGCTAGGGATTGATAGTTTTGCACCCTTTTACTACAGGGAGCAGTTGACTTTGCCTTAGACCTCATAAAATCCTTACTGTCATTGTGAGAGGACTGCGATTTCACTCAGCAGATCTTTTTATCTTCTGTCACAGAGCAGATGCTGATTCCTCTGTGAAGAAAGCTATCTTCTTTCAAAGTTGACAGAGCTACAGGCCTAAATGTTCTGACCAATAAGTCTAAACCAAACGTTCATGTTTCCATTAATGTTTTCAGTATTTTGTGGGACATTCAATTCATGTTGCAAATTTGGAATTATGTGCTTAAAGCATATTCCAGGTTTTGCATTTTAGATGTCATAATGAAAATATATGATAGTGGTAATGTACTTTAGAGTCTAAATTATTTTTTATTATTTAATTTATTAAATAAACAAATGAGTAAACAAATATTGTAAGTAAATAAAATAATGTTGCAAGTTTGGAATTATGTGTATAAAGCATATTCCAGACTTTGAATTTTAATTTCGATAAATTTGACAACGTACTTTATATTCAGTCTAAATTATATTGTATTTTTATTTATTAAATAAACAAACAAATAACCAAATACTATAAATAAAAAATAAATAAATTATGAAGTCTACAATGAACATTCATTCATTTATTCATTTGTTTTCTTTTCGGCTTAGTCCCTTTGTTAATCTGGGGTCGCCACAGCGGAATGAACCACCAACTTATTCAGCATATGTTTTATGCAGTGGATGCCCTTCCAGCTGCAACCCATCACTGGGAAACATCCAAACACACTCATTCACACACATACACTACTGACAACGCATGTCTTTGGACTTGAGAGGGAAAGCGGAGCACCCAGATGAAACTTCTGTGAATGCGGGGAGAACATACAAATTCCATTTTTATTTAATAAATATAATATTTTTACAGTCTACACTCTACCAAAAATAAAATAAAATAAAATATAATAAAATAATAATAATAATTAAGTCTACATTGAACATACATGGTTTCATTAATATTTTGATTAATAAAATTTTAATAAATGTGATATGTTTACAGTCTAAATTCTACTAAAAATAAATAAATTAATTAATTAATTAATAAATAAACAAATAAATAAATAATGAAGTCTTCACTGAAAATTCATGTTTTTATTAATATTTTCAGTATTTGTGGGTTATTAAGTTTGGAATTATATTTATGATGTGAATTCTAGACTTAACATTTGAGTTTTAATAAATGTTAATGTATTAAATAAATAAATGGATACATAATAATAATAATAATAATAATAATAATAATAATAATAATAATAATAATGTAAACTACATTTACCAATGTTTAAACTTCAAAATAAAGCTTTATATTGCAAAAAATCTATCAATAATAATAATAATAATAATAATAATAATAATAATAATAATACATTTTTATTAATATTAATTATTATTATTATTATTATTATTATTATTATTATTATATTAAATACTCTTTATTTTTTCATTTAGTGTGTAACACCTGTTCAAAATGTCAACATTTGCTCAAGTTTATTGCCTATATTAAAACAT